GTCCTTGGAAAATTTTCCGTGTTTAATCATTAACCTTTTCTTAAAACAAACTGAAAATTGATTCCTCAAGACCTGTAATTCGTTACTGTATATAAAGTTGAATTTTATTTGTTTCGCTGGTTATCTTAAAATAAGGCTGATATATCACCCCAGCGAATATCAGTAAATCGTCTGTCTGGGTTTTACATCATCGATTGCCGTTCAAGAGAATTTTATGGCGGGTGTAAATTTAATATTTTTTACTCGATATACTTACATAATTTTACTTAGTCTGGCACAAGAAAAAGGAGGATTTCACCAAATAAATAGTAGAAGGTTTAAATCGGATATTATTAAGTTTTAAAGATTCCTAATTTTATATATTATTTCTGAAACTTTTAAATGTTTTTATTTTTTTAGAAATATTAATCATTTTTTCTTCGTTAATTTCTAAATTAAAAAAATTAAAATGTGTTTTTAAACACATTTTAATTTTTTTAATTTAGAAATTTTCTAATATTTATTTTTTTGGCAAATAATTTTGTTGTTATTTTTTGACATTTCTGTATTTTGTTTTTTTTTAGTTTTTGACATTTGAAAAATCATTTTGACTTTTTTTGACTTTTTGTTGCGTTTTTACTTTTTGACATTTATGTTTTTTACTTTTTGACATTCTTGTTTTTTGACCTTTTAGTCATTTGTTTTTAACTTTTGTTATTTCGTGTTTTTTAACTTTTTGTTTTTTTTTAATTAACTTTTTGTGTTTTGTTATTTGCATTTTGTTTAATGATTTTTATTACATGTTACTTTTTTAATTTTTACTTATATATTATATATATATATATATATATATATATATATATATATATATATATATATATTTATATATATATATATATATATTATATATATATATATATGTATAATATAAATTATATATATATAATATATATATAATTTATACATAATATATTAAATATATATATATATATATTACTCTATTTTTTCCGATTGTACTTTGTCTCTAGCTTTAATTGCAGAAATTTTTCCTCATAAACTTTATTAAAAAAATTAAATTTTAATGTTTCATAAAAATCGGTAAAAGCTTTGCGTTTTTTTTTTTTTTCATGATACATCTTAGCGCGATAGCGAAAAACAAATTTAGTCTTAAGTTTTCACCTTCAACAAAATGCGGGGCAGACAAGAAAGTCCCCCTCTCTCTCTCTCTCTCTCTCTCTCTCTCTCTCTGGCGCCATTTATTCACAATAATAGAAGCCACCGCAAGACTAGCTTTTCCGACAGTCGTACTAAAGCGCGCATCCGCTACTATTTACCAAGTTTAGCTTACACTAGTTAGTTCAACAGATGAGATTGTCGAGGCGCCATGTTGGATAGTTGCTCTTCAAGGGCTTTTTTCATGGCAACATGATTAATTTGGTGGCACTCATTTCATCTCTAAGTAACTTTCAACATTTTTACTACATTGGATGTTACCACCGGCAATGGGTAATCCCTGATTTGTTCTATGCTTGGAAAAATAGTAAAGTGGTTTCTCGTTGCCTTCTCGACGGTTTGGAATTAAATGTAGTTCTTCTACAAGATAATTTTTTTTTCATCTGTGAATTACTATTCTTCTGGGAAAGATAGCAGAGTTGCTTCTCATCTCTTTTTCTATGGTTTGGAATTCAGAATAGTCCTTCTCCAAGATTCCTTTTCTTTATTATATGTGAATTCTTAGGAAAGATAGTGCTGTTGTTATTCGTTGACTTTTCCGCGTTTTGGAATTTAGAATTGTCCTCATCCCAGACGGTCTTCAAGCCATGACTAGAAAATGCAGTTAATACTGATCTTTAACCCTTAGCTTGGTCGAACGAGTGAAAAGATGGCTTAATACGTTTCCCCTTTTATGTGAAAATGAACGTAACTCGTTTAGAATTTGGGTTCTGCTCACCAGATCCATTTTTTGCGTCGATAACCGTTACACTGCCCGAACATAACGAGGAAACCTGATATGGATCAAACTCCTTAACAATGTGTTTCAAGATAATTATCTCTCTCTCTCACTGATAATTACGCTTAATGTCCAGTTTGGCATATGGCCTTAGTATTAGAGCGCCGAGACTGAATTCAGTACTTTGGTAATAAGCTGCCAGGTGTTTTTATCATTCACCTCTACTGCAGGTTACTCAACCTTATTTCATTTATATTGGGAAATGGTAAAAGAATTTTCCTGGAGCTAGTGGAATCAGCCAGATGTTATCTGTTACACAGACTAGGCCAAACCTGGAACGGCTTTTACTATTTCTTAAGAGTATTTCTTTCTTTTTTTTTTCTTTTAGAAATCTAGGTATACATTTTGCAAAAAAAGAAAAAATATTGACGCTGCCCAACCTTCTAGCCTCCTTTGCAGACAGTACGTTAATTTTTGTTTTGTTTTGTTTTTTGTTTTTTTTGTTTTTTTGTAAAATTCATAACAATCTATTCTATATTAAAAATAAATCACCCGCAGAATTTCCCAGAAGCAGAAAGCCATTTCTCTGCAGCAAAACTTTAAAATGCTAAGGAATTTGGTTCGCTCTATTGGGATAGACAATTTTTCGCTCCAGAATCTGTCTTACAAATTTCTAAATCTACCATTTGGTTTGTCTCACGGTATATCAACCCATTGGGTGATTTAACTCCGAAACGCTATTGTATACATGCTAGATGATACTCAGCTTTTGTGCATATAAATGTTTGTGTGGATAAAAATACTAGAGGCGGTGATATGTGTGTTTTATATTGTACCTTTGTTGAAGTTATATTTTGCAATACACTTCGATTTCTTTAAGAAACTATGATTCTAGGATTAAAGCATTGTAAATTCTATTATAAATATGGATCGTTAGTAATTTTTTATGTAAAAATGTATTGCTGGTATTTTTACGATGAAAAATACTATTATACTTTCATAGTGTTTTTTGTTATTTTTTTAGGGTGTTTACTATTTTCCCATAGCTGGGGCCCTAATAAGCGCTACTACCCCTCCAAATTCCCGATCAGAGGCATTGCTGCCGGATGTAGTTTATCGTCATACCCATAAATCTACCAACCTTCCATTCTTTGAATATTGCTGTTACATATGACCCGGTGCTCCTACTATATGTTTACAGTCTTGAGAATCCTCAATATTATTGATCCTGACCTGCCATCTTTGCCTTCCCTTACTTTCCCGCCACTGTAATATAGCTTGTGGGCTTTTTCTATAAATACTTTCTTAGTAATTGTTCAGGTGAACTTTCTTGGCAACAAAGTCTCATCAATTTATAGTTAAATTGACTAGATGCAACCGTAAGTTCTATGCTAACAGTTTCTTCTCTCGCACTTCTCGCTTGTGGTACTCTTTTTTTTGGCTCCTTGCATTCCAGCCAATTTTGACCTTCAGAAATTTAAAAACAATTTCAATCTTTATCTACTGTCTCCTTCATTATTGTTCTTTTATTGTTCTCGCCCCTCAGTAAGGTTTCTCTCTTTTTGTTCTTGGTGGCTTTACTATCTTGCATGGGGTGAAATGATTAAAAAAAATTACTGACTTATTTCTATTAACTCTTGTGTATCAATTTATGGCACGATTATTACCTTTTAATTTTCCTGCTCTTTCATTCGCTTTTAATTTTCCCGGCTCTATCAGTGTACATAAACACCCCCGACACGTGCTTATTTGGTACAACAGGTTTATTTTTCTCATAATTTCCTACGCGGCACGATTATTTTGCTCTGCCTTGATTAATCTTAAAATTCCCGGCGGACCTTTTATTACAACCAACATGCTGATTTTATAAATTTAAAAATTCTCATCGGCATATCTATTCCAGACGTCACTTGTATTTGGTACAATAAGTATAAAAATACTAAAGTTATATTTAGTGAGCAAGTATTCACCCAAAAAAGTTTGATTAAAAAGAACAAAGTCTGTCTAAATTTTTTTTTTTTTTTGTATTTTTACAATATTCGGATAAGACGTTGAGTATTTTCCTCGAAGTTGCAGATAAACTGTCCGAAGTTAATATTTTGTTATTTTTTTTGTTCAAGTACATTCGACTTTTGCAGTCATTATAAAGCACTGATGTGTGTGTGTGTGTGTGTGTGTGTGTGTGTGTGTGTGTGTGTGTGTGTGTGTGTGTGTGTGTGCTAGTTAGACTTTCCTTGTCTGCATCAAATCGATGTGAATATGACAAGCTGGACGTTTCAAATAGTCTACCGTGACGTCATGCATAATGGCGACTGGCAACAAATGCCATACAAAAAGAATACGATTCATTTTATTTATTTAGGTTTTTATTATTTTTAATTTTTTTTATTGCAATACTAATATAATATGAGTGAACATTAATTATATCATATGCACTTCAAGATACCTTCACCTGGGGTGAATGATATTTTATCTAACGTGGACTATTTATTTTGTATAATAATTGCATCTAGAGTTTTGACTCTTTCCTTGAATTGGGTGCTGTAGAGTATTTTGGTGTTATTTACTAGTTTTTGTCTTATGTTGATAGTGGTACGACAAGTAACAGGTCAATCTGCGAAAGTGTGTGATGCATATGTGCTCAATTTAAGTATTTAATGTTTTTTATTAGTGTTGAAGATGCAATCTTCCAGACGGGGATTGTGTGGTCATGAGAATTCAGACATTATTTTTACATAGAGGGATTTATAAGGCCTGGGGTTTTTGGTAATAATTAAGTTGAGTGTTTTAAACATTTTGTAGTAGATGATAAAGCTTAGTTGTTAGGATCCTTGAGTGATCTGTACAGGTGAATTATGGTTTTAATTGATTTTTTTTCCTCCTGCTTATAATTAGGGTGCATTTGGTTACGATAAAATAAGTTGAGGTCGTGTTTTTTATTGTTTGCGTCAGGGAGAGGGTCTGGCGTCATTTTTTCTAGATTTCGATAAGGCTAAATTTATTTGTTCGCCGAAGACTGGGTTACGAAAATTAATGTTTGAAATACCGAGATAGATTGATGTGAACAGAGCTAGATGTATAGATTGATGTGAATAGCGTGAGGTGTGTAGATAGATGTGAACAAAACGAGGTGTGTAAATAGATGTGAATAGCGAGAGATGTGTAAATAGATGTGAATAGCGCGAGGTGTGTAGATAGATGTGAACAAAACGAGGTGTGTAAATAGATGTGAATAGCACGAGGTGTGTAAATAGATGTGAAAGGAACGTGGTGTGTAAATAGATGTGAATAGCACAAGGTGTGTAATTAGATGTAAACAGCGCGAGGTGTGTAAATAGATGTGAATAGCGCGAGGTGTGTAAATAGATGTGAATAGCACAAGATGTGTAAATAGATGTGAATAGCACAAGGTGTGTAAATAGATGTGAATAGCGCGAGGTCTATAAATAGATGTGAACAGCACAAGGTGTGTAAATAGATGTGAACATCACAAGGTGTGTAAATAGATGTGAACAGCGCGAGGTGTGTAAATAGATGTGAACAAAACGAGGTGTATAAATTGATGTGAATAGCGCCAGGCGTATAAATAGATGTGAATAGCGCGAGGTGTGTAAATAGATGTGAATAGCGCGAGGTGTGTAAATAGATTTGAACAAAACGAGGTGTGTAAATGGATGTGAATAGCACAAGGTGTGTAAATAGATGTGAACAGCGCGAGGTGTGTAAATAGATGTGAATAGCGCGAGGTGTGTAAATAGATGTGAACAAAACGAGGTGTATAAATTGATGTGAATAGCGCCAGGCGTATAAATAGATGTGAACAGCGCGAGGTGTGTAAATAGATGTGAATAGCGCGAGGTGTGTAAATAGATGTGAATAGCGCGAGGCGTGTAAATAGATGTGAACAAAACGAGGTGTGTAAATAGATGTGAATAGCACAAGGTGTGTAAATAGATGTGAACAGCGCGAGGTGTGTAAATAGAGGTGAATAGCGCGAGGTGTATAAATAGATGGGAATAGCGCGTGGTGTGTAAATAGATGTGAATAACGCGAGATTGATAGATAGGTAGAAATGGATGGATGTGGCGAGATCTAGATAGATGTGGACAGAGCCAGCCTAGGTTCAGCACTTAGATCTAAAATATTTATAGGTCGTCAAATCATCGAAATATGCTAAGACTGTTTTTTTTTTTTTACTTTCACTGCTTTCTAAGAATTGTCATGAAGCATTTTTCTGAAACCGTTTCAAAGTAGGCAATGACTACAATCACAGACCCTGTCACCCATTATCTGTAGGAGCACCACACGTACTGCAGCTACAGTGTGTGTCTAGGGCAAGATATTGTCTTTTGAATTCAGAGCTTCTCTTCTCTTAAACTGACTGCACTATCAATGCTAATGTCTGTTCTGCTATTTAATCCATACCCTATCCGTAACAATACGAGTTCATGCCTTTTATTAGGGCATCAGTGTTAAGTCAAGGAAACAGATTAGGTTGGAATTCGAAATTGATACGCCGATCCCATTTTGTTAGTTGAAATGGGCACAATTTAGAAGAAAAACGTTATAAAAAAAAATAACTCATAGATTTTAAAAATTCTGCTTATTTATGGTAGGCCAAAAATGCCCAAATAAGCCAGGACGAACTATTTGGATGGAAGGAAAATTCACGCGATTTCTAAATTTAATGTTCCACAAAGTGCGAAAACTTTCTTTCCAACCAGATATTTTCTTACGAGATAACTCGTCGTCCTTTCTTGCAAGACGATAGTAATTAAGTACAAAGTTAAGCCTGAACTCGCTAATGATCTGCTATTGTAATTTATCTAAGTTGTAGCTTCTGCCTGTTTGTTATCGAACTCCTCCGAGGCTTTTGGGGATAGACCCATATATTCTGAAACTACATTACCCAGGGGACTTGGATAAGTATATTTCATTTTGATCAAAGGGATCCCCGGAGAGGGTAGGCACAACCACACCACTGATTTTTGTTTCTCTTTGATTTAAATTAAATTTAAATTTGAACAAGTGAATGACGCCTATCCAAAATATAGAAGGAGAAAGCCAGAAGATGGAGGTCATATTGGTAAGATCAAAATAAGACAATATGGACGTCAAGTTAAGCAAAGAATCACCAATCAGTTGGTCGTGCCTTACAATACATATTTGTTACGACAATTCAACTGTCATATCAATGTTGAAATCTGCTCATCAATTCATTCAATCACGTATTGCATCAAATACATAGCAAAGGGATCAGATCCAGTTGTTTTTTGCACAAAATTCTCACTTACTTTTTCCCTTTGATTTAAATTAAATTAAAACAAGGGAATGTCTGCTATCCAAAATATAGAAGGAGAAAGCCAGAAGATGGGGGTCACACCGGCAAGATCATTGAGTAATATCGAACTGCGTCATTTTGTTTTCCACAAATTATAATGACTTAAAATCAGTCATCATTTTTTACAAAAAAAATGTGTGACACGTAACAAGGCGCGGGTAATTCAACTAGTAATTAGTAATCATGCTTAATTGACGTTCATTATGGTTGTTAAGCTAGTTCCTTTGTTAACGAATCGAGCAGGAGATTTTGCGTATTCTGCCATTTTATCAAAGTTACGGTTGTTTTAGTGTGGAATATATTTGAATACTGTTGCTGGAACCTGGAGTTTGGTTTCTAGTTGTCATGACATTTCAGCTACTTGTGGAATTGTCGGAAATGTCATTGTCGAAAGATATTTGGAAAGTAAATGCCAGAGTGAGGCAACCAGTGGGTGCAAAATATATTTGCTTTACTAGACATTTGCCTAGAGTTTCTGGCCATCTTTCTTGACGATGCTTCTGTTTCCCGCCAATATTGCTGTTTTAGCTACAGAGTTATCTAAACTTTTCTTCAGACTGTAAGTGCAGCACAATACATGAACGTTTATTCAGTGTATAAACACTTAACATCTGTCTATATTTCTGAGATGAGGTATTGTAACTATTTACATTGTTCGGAGTGTTGTCCTCATCTTTATTTTCACATTCACAACGTTTCGACCGTTGTACGCTCCAGCCTTCGCCAGGTAATATTTGAATTTCAATCCGAACCCAGAATAGTCAATCTGTATGTTGGCGTTTCTGAAGATTGTTTCGATGACGTTTGTGAAGAGGTTCTTCCCATGTTTATTTCCTGAAACGGGCTGACATATAAAATTCACATTCTTGGGTTGCCCAGTTAAAGTCACTGAGAATTTGTTTTATTTCCTCCTCCCATTTCTTGCAAATATCGTGACAGGGATTGGCAACAATAAACTAGGGAAAGAATGTGACCTTTTGACAAATATGCACTCTCCGACAGGAAACGAACCCGCGTCCCCACTGAGAAGAGGGAACTCTAAGACATATTCTTCATTAATATTCAGACTGGTAAACTAAAATAAATATACATACTGTTTAATATATTTTATTGTTTTATGTTATTTATATAGACACGATTATTTAAGTAAATGCTCTGTCTATAATAAACAGTATTGAAAACATTTACCGGCCTGAATGTCCGAGAAATTTTCATAGAAAATATTCGTTAAACATAAAAAATGTCTTTAATAAATAAATTGTCGGACCTTGTCCATTTCTTAATATATGACGTCGTTTGTTTACATTTGATACGCCAGAGCAGTTATGAATGTACGAGATTCATGGAAGATTGGAGTTTATAAGCAGTAAATTCGACATTGTCTACCGAACGGTTCTTTGTAGCCCAGAGGTAAGGCACGTCAGCGTATATGACGGTTCCGTATAGGAGGCAGGTTCGACTTCTGTCAAAGAACGAATATTTTCTATGAAAATTTCTCGGACATTCAGGCCGGTAAATGCTATTTAATACTGTTTATCATGAACAGAGCATTTGCTTAAATACTTGTATCTATAAAATAACAAAAACATAAAAAATATATATTTAAAAATAAATATCTATGTATATATATATGTGTATATATATATAAATATATATATGTATAAATATGTTTATATAATAAATATATATATCTATATATATATATATATATGTATATATATATATATATATATATATATATATATATATATATATATGTATATATATATATATATATATATGTATATATATATATATATATGTATATATATATATGTATCTATATATATATGTATATATATATATATATATATATATATATATATATGTATATGTATATATATGTATATATATATATATATATATATATATGTATATATATATATATATATATGTATATATATATATATGTATATATATATATATATATGTATATATATATATATGTATATATATATATATATATATATATATATATATATATATATATATATGTATATATATGTATATATATGTATATATATGTATATATATATATATGTATATATGCCACTCGTGGTATATATATATGTATATATATATATGCCATCATATATATATATATATATATATGTATATATTTATATATATGTATACTATATATATATATATATATGTATATATGTATATATATATATGTATATAAAAAAATATATGTATATATATATATATATATATATATATATATATATATATATATATATATATATATATATATATATATATATATATATATATATATATATATATATATATATATATATAAATATATATATATATATATATATATATATATATATATATTTATATATTATATATATATATATAATATATAAATAAATTCGAAAAGAAACAACCAATTTCAGCGTTCTAACTTATTTCATAAATCTATGTAAATATTCATCTCTTCAGACCGAAAGTTTTGGGGAGTTTTTTATAAATATATATCTTCGGTCTTAAGAGATGCATATTTAAATATATTCATGAAATAAATTATATCCGAAATAGGCTTTTAAGGATTCTTTACTTATTATTATTATTATTTATCACTTTAAACGTTGGTTTTAAAAATAAAAAATCCATTAATTGTCTAGAAATTGCTTTGTTCACGTTTGGATGCGAATATGAAATTTCGAGAATCTATGACTTCGCTTAAAGGTACTATTCAGCCTTGCTTGATCGGCAGTGATGTTCGTGGCTGAGTCAGCATAAGCACATCAGTTCTACCACAGTGCTCTCAGATAATGGTGACGCAAGTTCGAATCCTACTGGAGAACGCATATTTTTTTCTTTAATAAGTGTTCTCGAATATTCAGACCAATAGAAAAAAAAATGAATAAAAAGACTTTTAATAAATAACGGAACATCTATTCAAATATATGTATCAATTAAATTATATATATATATATATATATATATATATATATATATATATATATATATATATATAATGTCCTTCAGAAATACTGTTACTTTTACGCCTTGTCGTGTATTGAATTCCTCATTCATTAATTACCCTCCCCCACGCACAATGGGTTATTCGGCCTGTTAGCTAGCGGGTGTCTGGATGGACAGACGCATCATGGCAATATCTAAGAATATAAGCGATTTGTGTATGTCGTCTAACCTGTCTGGTTTCTTTACGTGCTAATCCAGTATAAGTCGATATTCATCTGAGATGCTTAGCTACAAGAATATTATTGCAAAACGCCGTTCGCTCGCTCGCAAATGTGGCCCAAAGCGAAAATATAGTTCGGGGGCTTCTCAAATTAAATTTCATTTACAATAATCAAATAAAAGGCTTTTCTGAAAACTGCCACCGCCCCAATCAATTCAAAGTGGAAGGGTGTTCCAATAACTTGAACCCATTTTAAATGTGAATTAAGTTTTAAATTGGTCCAAGTTATTGGAACAACCTTTAGAAAATTCAACATCTTTATTAGAGAATATAGATTATATTGTTCTTTCACTTATTGAGCTCTCTTTGAATTAATGTCCTCCTTAGAATAATCCTTACTAATTTATTAAGTTGTATTATATATATGTGTATGGATGGATGTATGTATGTAAGAGGTAACGGATTTATTAATCCGATAGATTTTATCACTTAAAACGTTGGATTTAATAAATTTAAAAAAAAACCCTTACTTCTTACTTTTATTTGTGAGCCAACAGTGCCTTACAATATTATTACAGCCAAACATTTCAGATGAAGATCGACTTGTTGCGACAAAAGGGAAAACAGTCTTGTCTCGAAAAAGAATTCGCGTTCTCTGCGCTGTCCCTCAAAAGAGAAAATCTGAAGTAAGATCGGGTTGACATTAGTGGGCCTCGAAATATGGTAATTGTTTGAGCTTCCCTACCAGCCTCGACCAATCACAACCTTTTTTCTTTTTTTACCCTAATAAAAGAACACTACTTTTGACCACAGGATTGCTTAGCTCTTATTGCATGAAGAGGGAGTTGCGAATTGTCATGTGAATTTCTTACCCGTTTAATGTACGCCACCAACATTTTCTGACGTTGGACTTGCTAGATTGATTTTTTTTTAAACTTGGAATTACAACCTCGGACTTATGATTTTTGAGGTTCGAATGTCTATTTTTTTTTTTTTTTCGAATTTACCCCAAGCAAGGAAGTAAAGACATAACTAGAATTAGAAAGTAGAAACATTACTAATCAGCGTGAGCAATAGAAGAGTAATCAGGAAGACAGTAGATATTGAATTGAAATTTTTGAAGATCAACGTTACGGGAAACCACAAAAGAGTCCCACAAGTTAGAAGTGCGAGAAAAGAAACTGTTAGCATAGAACTTCCGGTTACATCTATCCAATCAGCTTATTGCTATCTATCTTGTATCACAAAGATAATTTGTTCATTATCAGCTGGGACAAACAATAAAAAGTTAAGATATCATAATTACACTGATATTGATTTACCTGGGGTCTAATACTGTTATACCAGAACATTACCTATTCTATTGTAATAGACTCTCCCACACATAATAAGTAGTAGTAGTAGTAGTAGTAGCGGTGGCCAGTTGAGCTCAGTGGAGTTGAGTGAGTCAGTCGATGTCGGACATTGAAGTATCAACCATCACAACTAGATTGCTGTGTCATTAACTCTTATTTCAAGTTCCTAACGTTTTGTACGTCAGACCCTTTTAGAACCGACTTAGCGAAATACAAGCCTCCACTGTGAAAACTACTCTACAACAAATACGAACCTATAATTGGAAATATTTAAAAAAAAACTAGTGTCGCTGACAAAACTAACCTGGCCGCTCGTCTTGAAATGGACCTCCAATCGGTTGTTAATTGGGGCAAGAATTGGCTGGTTAACTTTAACGCCTCAAAAACTCAACTACTCTCTATTAATCACCATAGAGACCCTTCCCTGCCTCCCATTAGAATGTCTGATAGTCAACTTCTTGAGAGCAACTCTCTGCGTCTGCTCGGTCTCACGTTGACTGCTGACCTGAAATGGAACAAATACATTGAGTCAATTGCTTCGTCCACCGCGAGGAAAGTTGACTCTCTGTGCCGCGCCAGGAAATTTTTCTCCCCGGAATCGATACTTCAAATCTACAAATCAACCATTCGCCCTTGCATGGAGTATTGCTGCCATATATGGTCTGGGGCGCCTTCTGTTTACCTCGGAGTTCTTGACAAGATCCAGAGGCGGATATGTAATATAATTGGCCCTGATCTGGCATCTCGTCTACAGTCGCTCTCTCACTGACGCGCCGTTGCCTCTCTCTGTCTTTTTTACAAATACTTTCATGGCAATTGCTCCGATGAGCTGCTTTCACTGGTTCCCAGACTCCATGAATTCAAGCGCCCTACGAGGCTGGCATCCCGCTCCCATCCTTACACTGTAGAAACTTTTAAATGTAGCCGTCTCTTCTACTCCAATAGCTTCATACCTCGCACCTCTCGCTTGTGGAACACCCTTTCCAATTACTAGAGCTATAATCTCCAACTATTCAAATGTAATGTCAATCGACATCTCCAGTTACCTTGATCTATCCACTATCCTTCTCCTCATCCTTTCTTCTATCACTCCTATCTGCTCTCGCTCCAAATCCTCTGCAACCCCCTGCATCCTAGTGGCTTCACGGCTTGCTCGGGGCGTGATGCTTAAAAAAAAATAATATAATTTATAGTAATTAGATGTGGCACAAAGCTGAACGTATAGTGTTCCTAGTGAGGATCGAACTCACTATTCAGTCGTAATTGATCTAGCAAGACAAGTTATTTACATAACTTTTTGCTAGGTTTTTGAGCGCCCAGATCAAATTGCGCCTCCTCCTGAGCCATGAGCTGTTATAAAATTTAGTTTCGTACGTATTTTCTCAACCTATCATTTTTTTTTTCCTTAGCTTCGCTAAAAATTTAGCAACCGGGGGTAATCGGCCAAACTACGCCACTGGATGAGTCGGGGGTGTAATGGGTATCAGGTCGGAATTAATAATCGGAGAGCCGAGTTCGAATTCCAAGCAAGTTCGTCATAGTCACTTAAGCATAAATACCTTTGGGAAAGGTACGAACCCAGCTATGGCTAAATAGCAGGGCAGACAAGGCCCTATAACATTGGTTGGCAACCAGTCTAGAAGAAGGAAAAATCTGAATTCAAACCAACCTAGAGAAGGTCGGACTTTTTCAGGCTAACTTGCCCATAAAGCACCACTGTTGCTACGGTTTCAGTGCTCGTTGTGCCCCTACGACCCTAACCAGTTATGAGTGTCGTGATGTAATTTCTTAGGGAGTCTTCGGTTTAAAATCCGAGGTGATTAACGCGAACTATTGACACCTGAAGAAGGCCGGAAAGTGAACATTGTGAATGTAACAACCAAGATGATGATATTTGTCTGAAAAAATTCTAGGAAAAACGTGGTAATGACCTAAAATCATGAACCTTACAAGAAATTACACATATTCACCCTACAGTTCAACGTACGTGGTACATCGTTTCCCTAGATACTTTCACTAGCATGGTAGAGTAATGGTCAACGGCTCGGGTTAATGAATCGAAGAGCCGAGTTCAAATTCCAGTTAGTGATTCGAATTAGTCATTATATTCACTTACATGCTAATACCCCCCCACACACACACACACTCACAGCGACGGGTAAAATAACAGGGCAGACTGTGCCCTATATAACCTTGGTTGGCAACCAATCTAGAAGAAGGAAAACTCTGAATTCAAACCATCCTCCAGGCAATATTACCCAAGATGCACCATTGCTGCTACGGTTTCAGTGTTCGTTGTGCCCCTACGACCCTAATCGGTTACGAGCGTTGTGATATAATTTTTTAGAAATTAATGAATTTTATTTACAATCCGAAATTCTGATTCTTATTTTAAAAGTCATATTTAGTGTATACACGTGATTGAATAGACATGCCTTTTTTTATTATTAATGTTCACTCCTATACCAGGCCCGAAAGCCACTCAAGCTAGAGGGTTACTGAAAGAGGTGCTCGTATGAGCGGTAAGAGAAAAGAAGTACAATTTATGAGGATATGTGGGAAAGATAATGTTTAACCCTAGACTTAATGAAGTTAAAATGTATTGGCCAGGAAAGCGGTTCGTGGGAAGAAGCTGTTCGATTAGAACTTCCTCCTTACGAATGGAATACGAAGGAAATGAGAATGATTCGATCCAGTGTACCCGGTATGGTGGGTCTTAGCAGTGAAGGCAGGGACTTGTGGAAACAAAGGAATGTAGCTTGTCAGAATATTAGTGATAGAGTAGCTAGAGGCTTGCAAAGTTTCGGATGTGGGGAAAGTGGTTGTAGGGTGGAAAACCATTCATCATATACAAGGTCGCGTAGACGCTTTTGGACTCTATCAGATATGGCAGCAGTACTCTATTTTCGATTTGATCTGGTAGAGCATAGCTGGAAATTTTTTTTAAAATTTTAGTGTAAATTTATGTCTACCGGCTTGTGCATTCGAGAGGCTTAATGAATTTTATTTATAATCCGACTTTATTCATATCGCTTCATTTTAAAAGTATTTTGATTTGTAATCATAATTTAACTAATAATAATCATATATATTTCATTCTTTTTTTAATATCATTTTTGTTTGCAATCATAATCTAATCATATTAGGATAAATATTTAATTCTGGGGATATTAAGAAACGATTGTGTCAAGAAGAAGTGTTTATATCTTAACGTTATTTTGATTTGCTTAATCTTTAATTATTTATAATCATGTTTCCTTGTGGGATCATCAGAGGACGAGTATGACAAATTCGTGTGTTTTAGGTTTTCATCAAATATCTGTGTATAAAACGCAGGCTGATTCGTTAAAGAGGTTTTTTTAGCAAAAAATGTTCCTCTTGTATGATAGAAAAATGGTATTTACAAATTAGCCTATTTATAAGACATACATGTGTCTTTACATCTACAAGAAATTGATTTCTTTCTTACTTCTCTGACTTAGTTTTGCTTTCTCATTCATCCCATATCCTATCTCTCTTTCTTTGTCCTTTTCTCTCTCTCTCTCTCTCTCTCTCTCTTTCTTTATCCTTTCTCTCTCTTTCTTTATCCTTTCTCTCTTTCTTTGTCCTTTCTCTCTCTCTTTGTCTTTTCTCTTTCTTTGTCCTTTCTCTCTTTCTTTGTCCTTTCTCTCTCTCTCTCTCTTTTTGTCCTTTCTCTCTTTCTTTGTCCTTTCTCTCTCTCTTTGTCGTTTCTCTCTTTCTTTGTCCTTTCTCTCTCTCTCTTTGTCCTTTCTCTCTTTCTTTGTCCTTTCTCTCTTTTCTTTGTCCTTTCTCTCTCTCTCTTTGTCCTTTCTCTTTCGTTGCCCTTTTCTCTCTCTCTCTCTCTTTGTCCTTTCTTTCTTTGTCCTTTCTCTCTTCTTTGTCCTTTTCTCTCTCTCTCTATTTTGTCCTTTCTCTCTTTCTTTGTCCTTTCTCTCTCTCTCTTTGTCCTTTTCTCTCTTTCTTTGTCCTTTTCTCTCTCTCTTTGTCCTTTCTCTCTCTCTCTCTCTCTCTCTCTCTCTCTTTGTCCTTTCTCTCTCTCTCTCTCTTTGTCCTTTCTCTCTCTTTCGTTGCCCTTTCACTCTCTCTCTCTCTCTCTTTGTCCTTTCTTTCTTTGTCCTTTCTCTCTTTCTTTGTCCTTTCTCTCTCTCTCTATTTTTGTCCTTTCTCTCTTTCTTTGTCCTTTCTCTCTCTCTCTTTGTCCTTTCTCTCTTTCTTTGTCCTTTCTCTCTCTCTCTTTGTCCTTTCTCTCTCTCTCTCTCTCTCTCTCTCTCTCTTTGTCCTTTCTCTCTCTCTCTTTGTCCTTTTCTCTCTCTCTCTCCTTGCCCTTTCTCTCTCTCTCTCTCTTTGTCCTTTCTCTCTCTCTCTCTCTTTGTCCTTTCTCTCTCTCTCTCCTTGCCCTTTCTCTCTCTCTCTCTCTTTGTCCTTTCTCTCTCTCTCTCTCTTTGTCCTTTCTCTCTCTCTCTCCTTGCCCTTTCTCTCTCTCTCTCTCTTTGTCCTTTCTCTCTCTCTCTCTCTCTTTGTCTTTTCTCTCTCTCTCTCTCTCCTTGTCCTTTCTCTCTCTCTCTCTCTTTGTCCTTTTCTCTCTCTCTCTCTTTCTCTCTCTCTCTCTCTTTCTCTCTCTCTCTCTTTGTCCTTTCTCTCTCTCTCTCTCTCTCTCTCTCTTTGTCCTTTCTTTGCATATCTTAATCTCACCGTTCCTCCAAACAATAACTGTTTCAATTCTTTCATTCTTTGCAAGATCCGTCGAATGGGAACGCCACGTGCATGTCTTTACATAAAGGTGTGGCTTTTTAATTCTGCAGACTTCGTGACTCAAAACAAAATTCAAATTACCTGTTGCCTTACGCACACAACCATGTGGGCGTGTGTGCCAATGTATGTACCTGTGTATGTCTGTGTAAAAACTGGGATAAATATATTTACTGTCTTAATTTCTCATTCGACGTCTTGGCGTCAGTTTTGACTGACACTTAATTTTTTTCCATATATTTGTGTTCATCCCGATTAAAGTTCGTATTTTATTTATCTCGAGGGAAATTTTGGAATTTTCAGTTAAATTTTCACTTTAAAATTTCTCGTATGTAATTATAGTTTAGATATACGGAAAAAAGGGGAAGCCGTTAGTATAAATTGATAAATTATGTTTTTATCGCATCGTAAACATAATATAAGGACACTCGTTCTGTATTCGTGTGAGTCACTGAAGGATACACAAATCCATCAAGCACAGATCCTATCCACTAATAGTGAAATCGGTTCCACGCTGACGCTATACATTCCCTAGCAGTGGCAAACCTACATTTTTCAGGTTTGAGGCTTGAACAGATATAGGGAAACCTTCGCAAAAAGCAACAATAAATTCAAGGCTCTAACTTCCAAAATGGAACCGATGAATTGATTCTGGTAAGCTCAACGTGGGCAAACAGCTGTGGGGTTCGAATTAGCCACCAAGAAAAATTTTATAATTTGACCAATTGCTGAGGAAATTTGAGGCAATATGAAATGGATACCAGAGCTCAAAATTAGCTTCTTCAACCTTATGAATCTATCACTAAAATGACTTTATTTTAATAATAAACACTTAAAAAAAAACTCTGTTTTGCTTCAGTGGCCCCTCTGGAATTAGGGGACCTAAAGCTTAAGCCTTCCTTAGTTTCATAGTAGATCCGCAAATGATCCTTATCATTTATTATAACTTTTAAAATATAAAAAGTTGAAACCATTCTTATAATAACGAACGATTTTCCAACAGTATTACCGTGTGTGTGCAATAGTAAAATTGCGAATATAAAATTAAACAAAAATTACTCAAAAAATGCATTAGTCTATTTGCCACTGTTGCTCACAGAACCCCTAGCGACCTCTTGCGGAGTTATCCGGTGAAAACTGGTTGAGAAACACTGATATAAACCCCTCCTCCCGATTGGACAAATTTTCTAGGTGGGTGCCGACTACAGCCTCAACGAGTGGAATTTTCTCTCACAAACCAATTTACTAGTGGGGTTAGTTAGATTCTGTCTGAGTAGCCCTCAATTGTGGCTTTGTAAGACTAAAGCCCACTTAGTGGTCGTGTATCAGGCAAAGGTAAAATAAATGACCTTGTACCAAACTGAGTTTAGCCTGTTACAAGGTCATTAGATTAAGCTTAGTTCATTGACGTTGTACCAGATAAAAGAAAATTGGCCTTGCATGTTATACCTAACTAAGCTCCTCCTAGTGGCCGCCCTTTGCCAAATTAAATTTGTCTTTGTGTTAGACTAAGCTCATCTTAATGTTCTTGTGCCAGACTAAGGCTTAAGTTTTCTTGTGATGGTCAGTAAGTAGCCTTGTACCAAATTAAATGAAGTGTTTTATTCATCACAAAACTCATTTTAATGACCTTGTGTTTTACTATAGCAAAATAAGTGTTCTTGTTTTAGTTGATGCTCAGTTTAAATGGCCTTGTGCTAATTTCTCATCCCAATGACCTTGTGCCAAACTATGGTTTAGTAAATTTTCTTGTGCCAGATTAACTTAGTAAATCTGATAAAATGACGACTAATTCGTTTGTAAACATTTGGGTAACGCACTTCCAAAAAGTTCAATATGACGCCGGTCCAACCCAATGATGACAAACGAATTAATTGCAAAAAGAAATTCTCAATATATTGGTTCAGATTAATTCCAATATATTTTGTTTATCTGTTGAACCCCTAGAGAAAAACGATGGAGAAACCAGAGATACTGTCATTTCAGTCGAATTAATTTATTTCTTTCCTTTCAAAAGTCTCCGGTGTGAATTGTCGAGGCTCCAGTAACAATAATTCTCAGAAGAATTCTGATAATTTTCTCGCTATTCTTATGAAAACCAATCTGGGTTGGGGTGCAAAATTTTATTGGGGCTTTAAACTGGACATTTTTACTGTAACTCATCCCCCCCCACCTCATCCTTGCTCTTCCTTTCACTTATTTTTCTAAATATTAGATATATATTAAGATTATCGCACAAAATTTCATAACTGAATCAACTAAGCTGTCAGATCCTCATACGTCGAAACCGACGGGAGAGTCCATTATATATATATAATGGTACCTTTTTTTATTTTACCCGTATTTTAACGATCTGAATAGCTATTTTAACATGACTTCGTTGTCAGGCTTTTTAAATTTTCCTATACTTGTATTTGTTTGGTCTAGAATGACCAAACAAATACAAGTATAGGAAAATTGGGAACGTTTTCCCCTTGTGAAAGATCGTTCACGAATTTGAAACATTTAAAACCATTTGTTTTATATTCAACATCATCACTTGATAAGACACTGGAGGTGTTGAAACAAAATGGCTATTTTTAGTGATTTTATAACATATTTATGTTATAAATTTTCTAAATAAATAATATATATATATATATATATATATATATATATATATATATATATATATATATATATATAATCTCAAATATTTATAAAAATATATCAAAGTGAAAGGATTAGGAGAGGAATGAGTCACAGTAAAGTGGTCGGCTGAAAAATATAACGGAAAACGAAATAACCTCCTCGCTCTTCAAAGCTAATCGAGGACAAAAAATATAAATATGCGTGCACCCGGTTCGCACACCTCGCCTGTCTTTTGAACAAGAGTACATGAGAAAACTCCTTGGCATCTTCTATTGGTAACATAAAACCAATGAGTTTGTGCGGGAAAAGGGTTGAAAATTTTGTGTGCCATTACGAGCATCTTCTCGTCACTGTCAAACGGAGAAAATGGCGTGGTTTGGACACATTACAAGGCACGACAGTCTGCGGAAGACATCAAGCCAAGGCACCGTTGAAGGTGGACGTAGAACTGGTTTGAAAATGTTACACAATGGACAAGTATGACTATACTAGAATTGCTAATGGCTGCCACTGATAGACCGTTGTGGAGGAGATTCAATATGACTTCTACATTCGGATCCCCTTAACCCGCTACGATTACAAAAGTCAAGTGTAATGATGATGATGATGATGATAATGATATGACTATCTCTCGTTTCCTGTTTAGGACTGGGTTTCCGGTTCCTTCGAAAGTCTTCTCATTCTCTTTCACTCTCAATAGCCTCTTGCGTCTTAATGGCATTATCGCCTTCTTTGGAGCGAATTTATTAAAAACAAATAAAGAAAAAACTAAAGAATGGAGCACATCTGAACATTTGCTATTAAAATAGCAACCCAGTAGTAACAAGCTTGCAATACTGCATGAGTAGGAAAGGTAGAGAATTTGCAGTCAAAACAGATGTAAACATTTTTAGCTAAATTAACCCAGTACAAAGCTCGAGAGCCACTCAAGGTAGAGAATTTGCAGTCAAAATAAATGTAAATATTTGCAGCTAAATTAACCCAGTACGAAACTCAAGAGCCACTCAAGGTAGAGAATTTGCAATCAAAATAAATGTGAATATTTTTAGCGAACTTAACCCAGTACAAAGCTCAAGAGCCACTCAAGGTAGAGAATTTGCGGTCAAAATGGTAATGATAAAGAGTGAATGAAAGAGAATGTGGTAGGAAGTGAAGATAATGAGGATAAGGAGGATAGATAACAATTGACTTTTGGTTTGAGAAGAACAAGATTGTAGTATTCAAGGAAGCAACGAATGGACGTCTCTTCCACAAAATGGCAATTCTTGGGGAAAAGCTGCTTGAGTGGAACTTTCTCCTTACAATTGGAGTACAGAAGAAATGATGGTGATTGAACTCTGTCGAAGTGGCATGGTGTGTCTTAGCAATAAACACAAGAACTTGTGGAACTAAGGAATAATCATCTGACCATTTGCCATGGAAATGGCAATAGAGTAGTGTTGTAGCATACCTACAGACGATAATGTTTATGTCCTCATTCACATAAATACAGTAGTAAATGCTGTATGTTGGCCTGCAGTTGGAGATTTGTCTCCAGCTGTGCTGGTCATACTCTCTGCCTCCGGGCAGAGAGAATCCCCCGACGAGGCTATGTCGAAGGGCAGTCTCGTCTAGGGAAACAGCTGCCTGACCCCGTTTTATACAGCGCCTGCGGAGAATTTTTGGCCAAACCTACGGGATCGGATACCCCACATTAAATTCGGCTTTGTGCCACATCTGACCGCGTGGAGCAGTTGGTAGATATCCTGCATTTGGAGATTCATTGTGAAATTCACTTGACTCATTTCTAGCAGTTGACTACTTCTTCTACGCGCCGCTGGCGAATCTTATGCGTTGTTTGTGTCCTAAGTATTATCGTTCATTACCAATTTTCGTTTGATTATTCTATTCAGTAACCTTCCCTAGGTTATAACAAGTAGCAACAAGCTTGCAATGTTGTTTGTAAGAAATAGGAATTAAATTTGAATATATACGCCTCTTTCCAAATGACTGCATAAATTATTTTGAGCACTATCAAGACTGGAATGGAAGGTTTAAGCATCTTTAGCCTCAATATGGCAGCAATATTCAATTATTTTCTCCCTAATAGTCGCTACTTTCTCATCACTGTATTTCTGAACAGGAGTAAAGGTCTATCCATTGTTTCCAATTTAAGATTAGGCTTCCATTTTCTTCTAAAATTTTCTCATTCTCTTTCACTCTCAATAATCTCTTGTGTCTAAATGCAATTTGTCTTTGAAAAATCTAAACGTGAGAAATGAATAAAGTGTTTGGTTCGAAATTCCAGGAAAATTTATCACGTAAGAATACAGACATTTGAAGAAGGTCGTAGAATACAACGGCCGGGTATAACAACCAAGATGCTAATAAGAATTCCTCATCCGAAAAATTCCGACAAAGTATAAAAAAAGACTTAACGAAAATTCCAAACATTACTTTCTCGATTGTATCTGTAATATTAAAAACCATTATTTTGGTACTTTTTTGAAATAGACTCTCTGCAATGGGACGTTAAACTGAACATTCTGTTTTGCAACTTAAAGCTATCGTAAAACATGGTTCTACATCATATATACATCATATGGGGGGTGGAGTTGTGAGGCTCATTCGGATTCCAGTCCCCGGTCAATAGGCGAAGGCTCGGAATAAACGCTCCTGATTCTAAACACAAAAATACATCTGAAGCATTCAAAACATGAAGAGAAACTAAGAACACCAAAACAAAACCCTCTTGAAAAAGAAATGGTCGAAAAGGCTTGGCACAATGGACGATATGAACAGTTTTTGTACTTCGTCACTTCCACCAAACGGGAAAATGTAAGAACGCTGAAAAAAAAAAGATAAAAAATTAATAAAATGTTCCTTGTCCATCATATTTAACGAAAAAATGTTTAAAAGAAACGTTGCTGCCCAGATATGCATTATTCAAATGACTGTTGATTCTGACCACTTTTGGATAATCTAATAAACATTTCCAAAGATTTTTCGTGTGCTATTAAAAAACTGGCTAAACGTTGCTGAAATATGGGTGTGTTCGCACACACACACACGCACACACAAACACACACAAACACACACAAACACACACTTGTTCTGTTTCCATATATCTCGTTTTTTTTCTCTCTCTCTCTCTCTGTCTCACACACACACACACACACATATATATATATATATATATATATATATATATATATATATATATATATATATATATATGTATGTATGTATGTAAGTATGTATGTATGTGTGTGTGTGTATGATGTATAAACGTATCCGAAACAAAAGTGGAAAGGATGGGACAAAGTAGAAAAGCTTATAAACGACGCGTTTCGCCTACGTGTGTTGCTTTTTTAGGTCGGAATGGAAGATAAAACTGCTTAGAACACAGTTTCATTACAAAGTTTTCTATTTCATTCCAACCTGAAAAAAACGAGCTCGACACATGTCGTTTATTAGCTTTTCCCTTTTGTCTTATCATTCTCGCTCTCTCTCTCATATATATATATATATATATATATATAATATGAAATCAAGAAAAACTTTGGTGGAAATGTAAAACAACGTGGAAAAAGTTTACTTGTGACATGTTTCGTCCTTCAGGACTTCATCTGACTAATGTATATATGTATACACGCACAGTCTTGTCTTTATTATATTTGATTTTTCATAAGTTCTTGAAAAACATATTTTTTCTTCTCTACCACTTCGATATCAATATATAACTTCCGTTAAGTTAACCGTTTAATTTAATTCGTTAATTTACATATGTTTAATACGGCCCGTCAAACACGTGTAAATTTTATTTTCATTTTTTGTTTGGAAGTAAAGTCTGAAGGTCCGCAGTCATATTAAAAGGGCTGTGGTGAAATAATTTATTACATGGAACCTTAAAGTGGTCTGTTTTTATTTAAATTATTTGCTCTGGATTTACATTGAGCTCTCTGGATTTTATCCTCCTTAGGTTTACCTATACGGATTACCTAATTTTTCATAAACTATATATATATATATATATCTATATATATATATATATATAGAGAGATAGATAGATAGATAGATAGATGTTACCAGCACAAATTCTCAGAGAATTTAAATCATTAAATTGTGTGGTAAAACAGAACACCCGGTTACCCAAAATCTGCTCCGAAGCGTAAAATAAAACTAAGACATTATTTAATTAGAAATGTTTTTAATTGCTTTTATGTATAAAATTTATTATTGACATATTGTCTTTAAAAACTTCGATGAATAATTATAACTCTTTTCATTTTTTTTTTATTTAGAACAATATATAAAATTTTAAATCTTTTAAAATTCTGTATTAATGTGTAGCTGTCAAGTGATATTATTATTAAATTAAATTATTAAATTAAGACTGTACTATTCATAAATAGAAAAGCTCACTAAAATTCAACGAACCCCAAAGTGAATTTGGAATTTATATTATTTGTGCATATATGTCTATCGAGAGAGTTGCCAACAATTCGTAAAAACACCCACCTCCATGATAATAAATGTTTTTCTGCGATATTTTGACTAAAAGTAACATTTGTTTCAAATCAGATTAACTAAATTTTGAATCAGCTAATCGTCTTCAAATAATGTTTCAAAAAAGTATATTTTATTTTATAAAGATGAGAATTATGTTGTGTTGAGAGATTTGTCAATATGGACGATTTTAGCGTGTTTACTGATAATTAAAAAGAAACTCATTCCAGTCAATTTAAATTCAGGTTGAAATACAGCAAAACAATTTGCTTATTGGAAATATTAAATTTGATCTATTCGCTTAAACTTAAAAATAAATAAAATGAGTGTTTCAATAAAGATTTTTGACTTTTTAAAATACATTTTAAAACTTATGTGTCTCTTTTCTTTGGAGGTACCTATATCCCCCCCTCCCCCCCCTTCACACACACACACGCACATTTTATTTATACTTAAAAAAAAAAGCTTGGTTTGTTTCAACATTCCTTTTTCCGTTCTTTCCAGCCATCAGAGTTTTACATGTGTTTCTCATTATCATTTTATTTCTTGTTCTTCTCATCCATTGTACTTTCACCGGCAATGTCTGGCCAGCCGGTCTCCTTTAGTAACGGTTTGACTTTGCCATTTTAAATACATTCACCTGGCTTCCTATTTTTTTTTTTTTTTCGCAGTTTCTTTTCCCTCGCAGCCTCCTTCCGGTATTTCCTTCACTTTTCACTTTCCATAATTATTTCTTTCTCGTCTTTAAAAAAACAAAAAATTATTACATATTTCACATAATTTTTCTTTTCTTTTTTTCTTTTTCCTATTTTTTCTTTTTCTTTCTTTTCTTCTTTTTTCTTTCTTTCTTATCTCCTTTTTTCTTTCTTATTTTTTTCTTCTCTCTTTTTTGTTTTTTCTTTTCTCTTTTTTGTTTTTTCTTTTCTCTTTTTTGTTTTTTCTTCTCTCTTGTCTTTTCTTCTATCTTTCTTGCTCTTTTTCTTTTCTCTTGCCCTTTTTCTTTTTTCTTCTCTCCTTCTTCTCTTTCTTCTCTTCTCTTTCTTTTCTTCTCTTTTTCTTTTCTCTTTTTCTTTTTTCTTCTCTCTTTCTTCTCTTTCTTCTCTTCTCTTTCTTTTCTTCTCTTTTTCTTTTACTTTTTCTTCTCTCTTCTCTTTTTCTTTTTTCTTCTCCCTTCTTTTTTTTTTTTCTTCTCTCCTTTTCCTCTCTTCTTTCTCAGATTAATTTTCTCACATTTCTGTATTTTCTAAATACGCTTTTCAACAGTTCAATATCTATTCTCTCATTAGCACAAGTTAAAAAAAAAAACTCTCCCCCTATTATTCCCACCCAGGCAGTAACAGCAAATGGTTCTTGCTCTCATAGTCAACCTTGACAAAGACCGATAAGACTATTTTTTTATCATTTCTTTATTTTAGCATAATTTTCTTTTTTCTTTCTTTTTTTCTTTGCTTCTTTTTCTCCCACTCATAAAATTTGTTTTTCTTTCTTTTTATTTTGCCACTCTATTTCTCCTTCCATTTTCCGAAATAATCTCTCCATTTTTTTAACTTCCTTCTTCCTCCCTTCATACCGCTTTTCTCTCCCTTCCCTTTCTGTTATATTTTTGCATTGACCTCCTCGCCACTATCTCGACAAATGCCCACAATCACCCAATACAACTGTATCTAAAATAACACTACCCTTTCCAACGAACTCTTGTTTCTCCTCACCTCCATCTTTCTTCTCATTCAAGACCAAATTTCTTTCCCCAACTCCACAACCTAAAACCTACCATCTTCACCCAGACACCTAGATTTTCAAATTACCTTCTTTTCCAAAACTTCCTCAGACAACACGCTTCTCTACGTATCCTAACACACGTAGCCACGCAAAGTTCACCTGGTTTCTTTCTTATCCCAACCACAAGGCAAAACTCGTAAGGCGACATTCAATAAAGAAGAATAATACGAAACTGAAAAGGACCCGATCGAAACGGGCCGGACAAGACCCAGGACATTGTGAAGTGTGGGCCTCGGGGGACTGGTGAAGGACCCAGACAAGGATGCTTTCAATACTTACTGGACATTGGCAGCTGGAGAGGCAGACAGTTGAGAAGGGCTTGGACAAAAAGACATTGGAGAAAAGAGGAATAATTAAAGGAGGACAGATGGGTAGACATTGTAGAAAAGAGTTTATAATAGAAATTAATATGGATAAGGCTAGACCCGCAAAAACGATTTGCTTATGACAGACCACTGATTCGATGTCAGCCATATATATATATATATATGTGTGTGTGTGTGTGTGTGTGTGTGTGTGTGTGTGTGTGTAAAATAAAGGACTAATTCAAGGATCTCGTGCCCCTCTGAATCTATAAAATTTAAAATACAATGTATCTAATTACAAATTAGACATGTCATGAAAGACCATTGCATCGGAAATACATCAATGTTTTGCGGTAATTTTTAATATCAACTTGAGATTTTTCTTATTAAAAAAATTAATTAATTTTAAAACACATTGGACATTATGGATAATAAAGAAAAAAAAGTCATGAATTTGATATAATTTTTTATCGAGATTCAGTGTGAGCAAACAATTTGGACGAAAAACAAAAACAAAAAAAAACTCAGAATGACGTCAAAATCCACGAAAATTTTTCATCCTTTAATAGTCAGTTAAATTTGTAAGTACAGTTTTTACATATAAATTAATGTCGGTAGAAAGAAAGAAAACGTTGCTAAGATAGCGAGGGTCGCAAAGCACTGCCAGGACCTCCCAATCAGATTCAACTCCGTCGGGAGTGAATAGTACCTTTCATCTCCCCCCTCTCTCTCTTATATATATATATATATATATATATATAATATATAGAGAGAGAGAGAGAGAGAGAGAGAGACAGGTTCGTGTATTTGTGAGAGGATGCTGAAAAACGTTATCCGTCTAACTGAAAAAAGATTACCCTCCCACCTCGAATAAAAATCCTAAATAAGCTTTTATATATATATATATATATATATATATATATATATATATATATATATATATATATATATATATATATATATATATATTAAAAGTATCCACTATAATTATTATATATATTATACATGCAAAGATTCGTTAAAGAAAATTACCACACATGATGAAAAATGCCCAAAATTTAATAAGAACAAAGTTTAATCGTTAAAATCTTTAAGAAAAAAGTGTTTGGGGTGTAGAAATATTTTTTAATCCTTTTTTTTCTTTTTTAGGACGTTCTTTAAAAAAAATTTCTGGCGTAAAAGTGGGACCCTAAATTAGTATAGGGAATTTTAGCGTCTTTTTGCGTTGAAAAACACATTGATTTGAAAATTCTTGCAAAAATCAAATAATTGTCTGATTTTAATTAAACTTTCAGGACATTCACAAATGAATTAAATTATTTTTTTTATTACGTTTCTTTCTTAGAAAATTTTCATAATTTTTTTTTTTTGGTCTGTTACTCTCGCGTATTTAATTTTATAAATTTTCGAGAAATTCTTTTTTGTAGAACGTAATATTATAGTCCTCGAACAATTTATTTTAATTCAAAAAAATTATAATTGATAAAACAGAAAATCTGCACTGAATTGTAAAATTTTTAAAAAATGCAATATAAAATTAAGACAATTGTTTAATTAGAAAAGCTTTAAATTGCTTTCATGAATAAAATAGATTATGGACGCGATTGTCTTACAAAATACAATCTTTCCATGAATAATGAATATTTACAAGAATTGTTTTCTTTTTTTTTTAATCTTAATTACAATAATTCATAAACTTTTTAATCTTTTAAAATTTTATATTAATTTAGTATCGGTCAAGTGATATTTTTATTAAATGAAAAAGTATTGATTAATAATAAATGAAAACTTTTACTACAATTCACTGACCCAGTATTTTAAAATGAAATTGAAACTTATTTTGTGCATACGTCCATACACGACATTTTCAAAAAATAAGAGCGGTAATTGCTGTGTAGTAGAGTATACGCTCTTATGGGCTCGTCCAATACGATAAAGATTCCCATAGTCGTTAGTAGTTGCATCTCCCCCAGGCAGTTCACTGCAAGATTTGCGGCAAACTTTGGGCAGAAAGGAACACAGACGAGGCTATGTCTCGTTTGGGGAAGTAGGCAAACCCGACTCCATGTATGCGGGGTCTACGGGGAATGTTTGCCCGTACTTACGGGCTCGGATCTCCCCGCATAAAAAAATCGACCTTGTGCTACGTCCTGTTTTGTGGAGAGGTTGGTAAATACCACTCGCATCGGAGTCTGTCCCAAGCTCGCGACACGACAAGACCTTTATCTTCGGGCGGAAGGTGACTCAGTCGGGGTCCTGTCTTCGGATAGACACACGTCTGAGAAAAACAGACCAGTACTGTATCCGAGCCCGCTTTGGCGGGAGCTGGGTAAATTTTGAGCAGTGGCCCGGGTGGAAACCCTCGGGTTCCCTGCATTAAACTTGACATTGTGTCGCATCTAGTCCGCAGTGACCGGTAAATACCAGTTGCATCGAAATCTATCCCAGGCGCTCGACACGACAAGACCTCTGTCTTCAGGCGGAGGATGAATTAGTCGGGGCTCTGTTTTTGCATATACTGTACCCGATCCCACTTTTGCGGGGTCTGGATAAATTCTGACCAGTGGCCCGAGTGAAAACATTCGAATTTCCCTATATAAAATTTGATCTTATATCACAACTAGTCCACAGTGGGGCGAGCGGTAAATGCCAATTGCATCGGAGTCAAGCAGTTCGCTACCAGGCTCGCGTGAGACAAGACCCCTGTCTTCGGACAGACTCGATAAAGAAAAACACACAAGTAATGTACCCGAGCTCGCTTTCGCTGGAGCTATGTAAAGTTTGACCAGTGGCCCGGGTGGAAATGCTCGGGTTCCTCATAATAATCCAGACATTATGTCACAACTCATCTCTGCGTGGGGACTGAATACAATCCAGTTGTACGGGAGTCGGTCTTCGTACTAACTATACAGGAGTATGGCAAGAGCCGGAGCATTACGTATACTTTAACGAATTATGTTATACCAAGTACGAGTGGGTGTTATAAAAATAACATTACAACAGGAACTTATAATAGTTGACGACGAGGAACTTGAACTCACGCGCTGTATAACAAACACCGGGAGTTAAAATTGTGGGCGACCAGTTTTTTCGAAACTCATACGTGTGAAACCGGAGTTACAAGAATTTCAAATACGTTGTTTAAAAAAATATTCTTGCAGATATGGAAAAAAAATTGGATTTCATTGTAAAAGTTCAACAATAACAACACTAGCAACAATAAAGCAACATACCCAACAGTTGCTACAGTTGCAAAAACAACAAGAGTTGTTGGAAGTGGTTTTGAAGAAAAATGCTTCAACATATCTTACACCAGACGCGGTGCAAAACACCGTATCAGAATTCGTATACAATCCTGATGACGGACTGACTTTTGCTACGAATTTTCGTAAACATGAACAACTATTTAGTCAGAAATGCAGTGGCTGGAAATAAGACATGTTGTTACGAAAAATAGCACCAAAAGAATATGAAAAGTATTATATTTTACCAAGAAAACCAGGTGAAATAGTATTTGCAGACGCAGTAAACATCCTGATGAAAATTTTTAGTGACAAATGTTCTCTGTTGCATGCTTGTTGTAGGTGGATGAATTTAATCAAAAAGAGGATGAAACTTTTGTCACATACGCGGGTATCGTCAACAGAGAATGTGAATAATTTAAACTAAAGGAAATGACTCCAAATATGTTCAAGAGATTAATTTTCCTGCAAAAGGTCTAACAGCGGAAAAATATTCTGAAGTACAAACGAAAATGTTGACAAAGAGTGAATATCATAACGATACACTACAGGAAATAATGGACGCGATTGCCAAACAGGGTTAAGTCTGAAGAATGATGCTGAAAAACTTTAGAAGAGAAAGAATGGGCATTGGTAAAAGCTAAGAAAAAATGCACACAAATAATATAAAACCTTGCCTTAGATGTGGAAAATTACATCCGTGGAAAGACTGTCCATGGAGAAATGCAGAATGCGATAACTGTAGTAAAAAAAAAGGACATATCAATTCACACTGCAGAACTAAATCAAGAAAAAATTCGCAGGAAGAAATTAATACAGTGTAACCCGGATATAAGAGACCCGGATACAAGAGAAACCCGGATATAAGAGATTTCTTCTCCGGTCCCGACAACTCTCTTATATCCGGGTT